TGTCCGGTTTGGCCAATGTGGGCTGTAGTCCACGAAAGCTTATGCTCTAATAAATTTGTTAGTCTCTAAGGTGCCACAAGTACTCCTGTTCTTTTTGCGGATACAGACTAACACGGCTGCTACTCTGAAACTATCCATTAACCTCAATGCACCTGCACTGGCATGAGACCAGTGTGACAGAGCAGAGGATCAGGCCCAGGGTGAGCAATGTGAGCAAACAGATTGGGCCTTTAAGGGACTACCCAGACCCACCCACATAGCCTACCAGGCCCTAGCCAGCAGACACCCTTACCCAGCGAGACACAGATGCCCCGTCTGGTGAGTTCCTGGATCACCTCACTGCTCCTCTTCATCTCAGGGGCCAGGGTAACGATCCGGACGCAGTCCAGGTGCCTGTAGGTGGCAAGCAGGTCCTGGAAAGCTCCCGATTCAAAGGTGCTGAGGTAGTGTTCTGAGTGCGCCCCCTTCTTCTCTTTGCTTATGAAAGGCCCCTCCAGATGGGCCCCTGCCCACCAGGGAGAGAAAAAATACCCACAACTGTTTCCCTTTCTTACCCCAAGGGTGAGGACACCCACCGCCCCACCTCAGCCCAGCCAATCCCCTCTCCTGGCCAGCCCCACCCTGGGGCTTGCCAAACCCCTCCCCCATCAAGCTGGCTCTGAGAATGAAAAAACAGGCAGCTGCAGAGTAGGAGAAAGTCAAGGCTTTTTCGTATCTCCCTGTAGGGTGACTAGACAGCAAGTGTGAAAAATCGGGATGGGGGTGGGGGGGTAATAGGAGCCTATATAAGAAAAAGATCCAAAAATCGGGACATCTGGTCACCCTATCTCCCTGAAACTGTTATCCTGCTCTATCCCCTGCCCCAGACTCCTTCCCCTTACCATCCCACTCTTGCCTGGCTTTACTTGACCTCACCAGCTGCTGGCACCTATAATCTTTATTGCCCCAGCTCACACCTCCCCACAGCCCCTTCCTGCTGCCTGTTTCCCACTCTCTTCTTCTCAACGAGCTTACCCCAAATGCCAGCAGCTCAGTTTTAAGGACCAAAGCGAGGTCCCTAAGGTGCAGCCTTCCCTGAGGTGCCTCACCCCCAGTTTTCAGTCAGAGATCTCCCCACTCCTCAGAATGATGGAGGCCCTTGGGCTGCTCTCCTCAGCATGGCACGAGAGATGGCATTGCTGCCAGCATGGGCAGTCTGCCCCCTCACAGTGATCCACTGCCACACACTGCCCAATTCCAGCAGGGCCGACATGTTGGATGCAGAGACCAGTAGAGAGGAGTGCAGTAGCAAGTGCCATGGGGTGGAGCTGCGGGAAGAACATGGCAGCCAGCATACGGAGCTCTCTGGGAGTCATGGCCAGGCTGCACCTGGCCTTGCACAGAGTAAAAATCTCAACACCACCCCCACTTCTCTATGGCACAACACTCCCAGCCACAGTGAATGCTTTCCACAGCAGCTGCTTCTCCTTCCTCCACAGAGGAGCGAGTCTCCACACAGCAGAGAGGAGAGGGGCCAAGAGGACAGGACCTTGCTGTTCACTTACCCAGGATACCAGCTCCATGAGGCCCTCCATTTCTTACGCTGATCTGAGGAAGAACCTAGGACGGGGATGTGTTAGAAGCCTCATGGACACAGTACCCAGCCTGCCTGTATTAGGACCCCTAGCATAATGCCTATGAGTGCCAAAGGGAACTATTTCACCCACTCGCCCCCAAGGCAGTGAGAGAGAGGTAACTACCCCTGCTGGAATGGTAAAAACTGGCCCCAGGGTTAGATGTGCTTTCCTGCTGGGCATGGCCTGTACAGCTCTCCTAGTGGTAGGGCAGACTGATGAGTTGGTCTTTAGCAGAAAGGGTTAATCTCTTCTGGAGGGGAACACTATTTCAGAACCCACCCTCTTGTGGGCCCATGTACCCCAGCTCCCCAGTGCCTGGTTCTCAAAAGAACCCAAAATAGATCACTGTGCATGACTTGCGATACACTGTGCTCGAAGAAAAAGCAGGTCCCAAGCCCTGTATAACTTGTCTCTTGGGACCCTGGGAATATTGCAGCATCAGTTGCCTAAATGTGCAGAGAAGCCATCTGGGTTTAGAACCCAGCTCCTCACACCCCTTCCCCTTCCCAACTGGCCACTGCCATCACAGAGCCCACTCATTCCACTTCTGTGGTGAAGCCCCCAAGGCTTAGCCACCTGATCCAACGGTGCCATCCCCACTGCCGTGAGTGTTTTGGGGGGCTCCCCTTACCTTGTGATAGACGGATGGCGGGGAGGTCACCAGGGTTGGGCAGAAGGAGGTCACACCATGGGAGAGAATCTTCTGACTCACCAGAGAGATCCCTGATTGGACGTCATCCGCAGCCAAGGAGAAATCCACCCCAAAGCCCCCTGCACCATAAAGGAAACAAGGACAGCAAGTGGTGACATGGCAGTTGGCTCTAGAAACCAGGGAGGCCAGCTCTGGAGGCAGCACTGTAAATGATACCTAATATAATGTGCAACTGAAGATTAACTTTGAGAATAAGGGGAGTGCTACAAGCAAGTGGGGTGGGGGAGGATTTTGGTTGCACAGCAAGCCCCTATAAAAGGAGATGTGGAGTACCCAATTGCACTAGCTGTCCTGGGAACTAATCCCCAAGGGCAAGCAGGCAAACCCACCAGAAGGGGCCTGATCCCTCTATTTCATTCCCCCACACTGCCCTGTACTCTTTCTTAGGTACTTACCTGGCCCCCATTCCCACAGTATATGAGCACCTCATGAGCTGTAATTCATTTAACCTTATACACACCTGGGATCAGAGTCTTAACCTGCTTCACATTGAACTGAGGCACAGAGAGGCCCAAGATAATGCAAGAAATCTGTGTTGGAGCAGGAACTTAACTCCTAGGTCCTCGGCTAGTGCCCTAACCACTGGACCATCCTTCCTCTCTGATCCTTTATGCCACACTACACATCATCCTTCAGATCCCTCCTCAAAACCCAGCCCATCTCCACAATTCTCCCAATGGCAACCCACCTGGCTTTGCTACCTCCTAACTTAAAACTCTAGTGTAGACATGGACTGTCAACAAAAGTTTTGCTGCTTTAATTAAACTGCTGCTGCCTGCCCAGACTATGCTTCTTGTGTCGGCGGAGCACATCCACACTAGGAGCTCTTGCATCGACACAGAGAGCAGTGCACTGAGGGTAGCTATCCCACTGTGTAACTGGCCACAGGGTGCTTTGGGAAAGGTTTGCAATGCCTCAAGTGACTGACAGTGTATGCATGGGGGAGGAGGGAGTGTGTGTTGGTGTGGGGGGGGGGCGAGGAAAGGAGAGACAGAAAGAGTGTGTGTTAGGGAAGTGTGTGTGTGTGTTGGTGGAGAGTGTGTCTGCATGCTGTCTCTAAGTTCAGACAGCAGCCTGAGCAACCAATCCCGGAAGAGGGGACACACACTCCATATCAGCCCCCGGCTCTGGGAGGGGACACCCCCCTGGCTCTGCACAGCATAGCAGTCTCTCCTCCTCCTCCTCCCCATAGCAGCAGCCCGCTCTGTCTGCATGCCTATGGTTCAGGGCTTTCTCCGCATTCTCCTACAGCAGCTCTGTGAGCTCTCCAGGCTGAGGAATGTCAAAGCTTCCCAGAGCTTTGAAAGGGGAGAGGCATATCTGTAGGGCAGAGAAGTTCAAAACAGTGAGCAGAGCGGCCATGATGGGTATCGTGGGATACTGGAGGAGGCCAATTATGTCGACATAATGAACGGCATCATCTACACTGGGTCTTTGTCACTTTAACTTTGTTGCAAAAAGCTTTATGCCTCTTGTTGAGGTGGTTTTATTTTATTGGCAAAACAGCAGAGTTTTGCATCAAAAGTAGCTTTGCAGTGTGTACACCTCCATTGTTTTGTTGGAAAAGCTGCCTTTTGCCGACAAAATTGTACAGTGTAGACAAGGCCTTAAAACAGAGAGCCAGCCACAGACTGCTAAACTAGAAGTTATGCAAATCTTATCTGATAACGCAGCTGATCTCCCAACAAAGTCCGTTTTCAGGAAACAGGCGCACTGTGAGTCAGAGTTCAAACGGCAGGAGGGTACGCGTTTGTGCTGGAACTCATCAGTCTGTTTCTAAATGGCACACATGGAGCCTGGTTCTCACTCAGATCTGCTCTAGATCAGCTGGAATGCCTTACCATTAATCTGCACATCAATGAATCCGGGAGCGATGATGCTGTCCTTACAATCCAGCTGAATATCAGCAGATCCCTTCTCATCAAAGAACAGCTTTTCTGGGTTGAGGATCTTCCCCTCTCGCACCCACAGATCCTCCCTGACAGAAGAACCATGCAGAATAAAAGATCAACCATTCCTCCCAGAAGCAGGGGAGGGGGCCTTGACTGCTTTCCACACTATTCAGTCCCCCTTTACGTATTAGGAAACCCAGCACATAGACCACCCCAACACAGGGACTGGCGGCTAACCCACCATGTGCTGTTATGGCAAGCAGGGGCAAGAACCAAATCAGCACCAGGCACTCCTGCCCCAGGGAACTGCATGTGTCACCTCTAGGATGTTTCCCACATGCCACCCAAACATGAACAATGCCTATACAGTCTCATTGGGAATGCTGGCGTCCTCCGAGTCCTTCCTCTCTCCCTGAAGAGGACAGATGTGGGAAGAGGATAGCGTGGATCAAATGAGCCTGGTAAGAGTCTATGCCTGTTCTGATTGTTACCTAGGTGGCAGCCTAACACACATAGTTGAGACCTCTTGGTCTGTGCTACAGGGAACAACTGCAGCTTTAAAAAACAGAGGGAAGTTGGGGTATTGTCAGAACCAGCTAGGGTGAGCAGACAGCAAGTGTGAAAAATCGGGATGGAGGTGGGGGGGTAATAGGAGCCTATATAAGAAAGAGACCCCAAAATCGGGATTGTCCCTATAAAAATCGGGACATCTGGTCACCCTAGAACCAGCAGCCCTGTGGTTGGTATTCTTTGCTGCCATGCAAGAGATCTGCATAGGTTCAACTCCCAGGCCTGGTTTTTCCAAAGAGCAGCACTTTGAGGTCCAATATTTTCTATACCTCGCATTCCACGGCATCGGAGGAGACATTTTGGTATGCAGGCAGCCATCCCAGGGCAAATAGACGCATCTGCTCACCTTTGCAGCTGGTGACTCCTCAGAATCCTGCAGTTAGTGAACTGGAAGATTGGCGCATCCGAGACAGACTTATTAGACGGCATCGTCGGGGCCTTGAGAAAACACCTGAAACAGGTGAAGGGTTAAAATCCATGTA